TTTGGACTTAATTTTAATTTATTTTTACTTAATGTTTAGCTATCGAGAGGGAAAGGAGTCAAATATGGCGGTCATGGAAGTGGAACTCCCTTCAGGCTATGTGGCGGACATGGAGTCACTGCCCGGCGCTCCAGACATTAAACGCGTTGACACCACAAAGGGAGACACAAATGTTGTCATATATTTCGATAGAGTTAGTCATTAAATGCTAGGAATGATAGGATTTTGTAATAATTTGTATGCATTTGACAGATAACTCGGTCGAAGATCTTTCTGACAGTCTGTGGCCATCGGACCCATCGAGTGGTCAACACTAAAGCCGTTCCCATCGTTGTCTACGACTACTATAATCGTCAACAAAGCGCTCGTATTTCGTATGAATTAAACTGATTGTCTGAATGTTTGAATTGAAATTTGAATGATTTCTGTGCTTTTAAAGTAAATTATCTGATATTTATTCATACATGAGATAAATTAAAAACAAAACACGATTTTATAATAAGCAAATTGGAATTTAAAGAATTACAAATATTTTACTTAAGATTGCAAATTTAATTTTTTAAAGTTCAGTTTTTAAAAATTATTATAATTATTATTTTTATTATTTTTAAAGTTATATTAGATTATAGTAAACTTTAAATTGGGTTTGATTATAAAAATTATTTTGAATTTAAGAGTTTATTTGACTTTTAATGAAAGTTTAATGTAGAAAATACAATAGAAAGTTATTTATTTAACTCTATATGATATACTTTCACTAAAATTAACGTTATTACATCTACTAAAAAATAAATGTATTCTGTGCAGTTAAAAGTATATCTTATATTTTAAAATTATAATTTTTACATTTTACAATTTAATTCTACAAATGAAGAATAAATTAATATTAAGTATTTATGATTAAACTAAATTTATTAATGATATTAAAATATTTCAATAAAACTTCAGTCTGTATTTATTTTAAAAATCCAATGAACAATGCTAAATAATGTTATAAAGTGAATCTTGAATGTTCTAGGATATTTAAAATAAAGTTGAATAATACATTTAGTTGTGAAACAGCATTTATATAAATTCCGAAACATTAATTTAGTGTAAGAAAAATGAATTGTTGCAAAACTACTTCAAATAAATGATTTTCTTATGTTTCAATAATGATGCATAACTTGTGTTAATTGTAAACATAATTCAACTCTAATTATTCTACCTAGTGAATTTTCATGTTGAAATTATTTAATAAAATTCTATTTTCAAAACACTTGTTAATTAATAATTAAGCTCAAAATACACTAAATATGCCGCAGATTACACTAAAATAAATTTCTTGACAAACAAGTTATGAGCACTTATTTTAGTACTTTCTGTATTCGCGAAGTATTTATCGACAGTAAATAATTTGGTGGACATAGATTTACTAATGAAATTGAACAGAATTAATTACAATGAATTTGTCACAACAAAATTAACATATCTCCAATGAATCTTAATGTGAAAAAGGTTTTATGTCTAACTGGATGGATAGTTATAGTTTCATACATGTGTTTCAATTAATTCTCGTATGAAACCACAATTAATCTCAATCTCGAGCAGCCCTCCAATTATGTATCGCTGCCGGCGATCACTATTTGTACCGCAAAACACTTGTATCTAAGATCAGACATTAAACACAGAATATTCTTTAACACAAGTTATGACTGGAGAACAGAATCAAGAATTATCTCCGAGTACTTCAATGACCTCTCAATTCGTGAACAATTCAATGCTCTTCAAACACCGGACGATATATTTGGCTACTGTTTGGTAAGTAAACCACATTTGGTTACACATTTAAACGTCAGCAAACGGGAAGGGTATGTGAATTGTGCGGACATAACGCCCATACGGTCAGCGATAAGCGAAAACTTTGATTGTATGACATTATTCTCGCAATTGAACGGTGAAAGCGATGACTACTATTACTTGGAAAAGAGATTTTTTAAGACCAGGATCTATGATCCAAGAATGATCAAGAACATTCGCGAGTACGTGTTTATGGGGTATATGAACGCAAACACATTTGGCAATAGTGTATACTTACACATACACCCCAGAAATAGGGTCATTACGCATCCACAACAATCGGATCACAAATGATAAACACATCGTTTGAATCTATTAATTTAGAGTATCAGACAACTAGTTTCCACCAATTGGGTACACCATATAAATCCGATTGTATAAACTATGGCGATAAGTTTGGCTACCAGTTCCAACATGAATACCTGTCCGCGTGCAAGATAAAGGATTTTATTGACAAAACACAATCATTTCCGACCGGATATCTGGCGTACGACAAGAATTTGGACCTAAAACTATGGCACACATCTAATAAAATCCGATTCGCCCACTGTTTTGATATATGTGCTCACAATATGGACTCTATAAGTGAATTCAGCCAGGTCACTCATATAAGCACCGAGATACCGTCGAAAAATCACCACGAGCATCAAATTAATTTCAGATTTCCTAATTCCCCCAAACTAACTTATAGACAAACGCCGACATTTTATCCTGATATGTGTGTACGTCTCAGTAGCCTTATATTAGCAGTAGTTTTTCAGAATTATTAATATGTACTGGTAGCTCTTAAATGTGTGCATTCAGTTGGTTAATAGGGTTTATTGTAGTTTTTATATCAAGCAACATAACAATAATAACCTTTTTTATTAACAAACAAAACACGTACTGTATGTACAAAATAACTTTGTAAAAGGTAACACGATCATTTCAAGAAGCTAAATTCAATATTAAGTTATTTGTTGTAATCTTAAATCAAATACCAAATGTGCACAATATTTATTTATTTATTTTATTATTAAGGTAATATTGTTATTTGTATGCATGTACTTAGTATATCATAGTATTTTAGGTTTTATCTTATGTCCACTCAATGACATTAAACGCATTGTTTTTCATATCCATTTGTATTACTTGTAGAATATAATTAGCATTTAAATAGCTTCCTTAAGTTAATATAATACTATAAATACTCAAATTGTTCAGACATAATTACACCGGACACAATAGTTAAAACACGTTTTAAATTACATTTACACCATTTACAATATTTACCTGTTATTACAATAAAACATCATTAAAAATATTATATGTAATTTTAAACATTATGTTTACATTAAAAAGTCATTAAATTATTTTTGAAGTATTTCCCAAAATAATTGTATATTAACATAACGGAATATTATTCTGTAATTTTAAATATTGTTTATAAAATATATATTTTAGATAATTACAAAATACTGTATAAATCGATAATAAATTTTGTTGCTACTTACAAGAATATGTAATTTAGTTTAAAATTAATTATTAAATATACTGTATGTTTAATTAATGTTTTGTAGACATAGTTTTAATTATATTTATTGAAAAGCTTAAAATAAAAGTTAATCATTAAAAATTTAAAAGTTAAATCAAAAGGTTAGCTTCAAATTACAAGTATTACGTTATTATATTATATTATTATTAAAGAATTATAATACAAATATTTTATTAATGAGTGCAATTTAATTTGTTACATTTTTCACGTTTATTAATTGTGTTCATATATTAGAATTGCTTACCTAATTCCCTTGATAATTATTAAATAAATTTAATTTATTTATAATAAAGGTTTTATATAATAAGTACAATAGAGATAATAAAATTTTTAAAAAATTATCATACTGTATATTAAATTTCTCATTATAATTTAATATAGAATTGCATTATTATGAATTCCACAAATAAAATAACAGTATTTTAATAAACTTCACCCACGTAATACATTTAATGGAAAATGTAGGGTATAAAATGTGCAGTTTTAAAATTATAATTATAATTTTGATTTTATCAAATGTTTTATCTGGTTCAATATATCGGATAAGACCAGACAAATTTTAGCTTATTTTTTCTGCTTACAAACTTTTCTTGCTTACGACTCAATATTAAAATCTTTTAAGTTATTAATAGTTAGACTTTATTGTAAACTTTTCCAAATGTCAAATTGGCCAAAAAGTAGCCTATAATCAATATAACATACTATTTACAACAGTCGACTTCACTATAAAGCATTCATATTTACAGTATTTATATATCTAAAAATTATTTACTGAAAGTGTTGTGTCTGACCCTCGGGTTTCACCAGTAGTTTCTTGAGCACAGAGTCTCCAGCCATGGCTGAGGTAGCCGTCAGTTTGATGTCAATATAACCCATAGTTTTCGGTGTTATCGTGAATGTGAGCGAAACGCCATCGTTGGCAGGGATTGACACCAATTGTCTTATTTCAGAGACATTTACTCCTTTTGTGTCCAATCGGTCGCTGAACTCAAACTCTTGCTTCTTGTTATCAAATATTACTTCCGATTGAATTGGTTTTGTGGTGTAATTGAAGACAATGGCCTCAATGGCTACCGTTTCGCCTCTTATTATAGAGTAAGGCAGCGATAGTTTGATGAAAAACGGTCGGAAAACTGTGACCTAAGGTTTCCAAAATCAGGTTTAATTGTTTTACATATGACTTGTTTTTGGGTAACCCTAATATCATACCTTGGTAGGTGTGGGTGCGATGCCCAGACCAGTCTCCATATGCATAGCGAATGCGCTGATGAACCACGAGGTGATTGTGTCGGGGATTGTGCTCTTGATAACAGCGCAACCATTACTCCTAAAGAATTCAATTTATTATTATAAGTTCACTATAATTACTAATTTATAATTAGTTAATAATGTAGTAGTTTGGTTTTTTAAATATTAATACGAAAGTACCCTGTTTGCATTGTAGCCCATAACCAAGTTTCGGGAAAATGTTTTCTAGTTTTAACAATAGTGGTCATATTGGGTTTCATACCCGGGCGAGCAGCTTGAGGTATGCGATCCAACTGTGCTGATTTTGTTTCTATTCTATTGATTGCTGATTGTAATACCTTGCTGACCATTCCTTGCATTCCAAACACAGTGGATCTGCGGGACAGTGATTCAGATTTTAAGGCTAAAATACAATAAAATGGTTACACAATTATAGACTTTTACGTTTCATAATTATAAACTAGAACTAAACTCAAATAGTCTATATCGGGTTTATAAACGAGACCATTAGATATGACCACAACACCCGACAAATTGAATAGTTTTTGTGCAGTAGATGTGAAGTCATCCCAATAATTGTCTGTAAATGTTGTGTCGAATGTCTGTAACCCTTGAATCACGGCTTCGCGCGTTATATCATTACCAGATTTCAGCAAAAGTACGCTCTGATCGACACCTACTATACCCACCCACGCGTCCGGCTTTGTATTCACTTTCACAGCTACCTGTGCTCCCGGCTCTGCCTCCTTAAGGTCGGTGT